TTCTGAATAATATAGCCTGGTTGCTTAGACTACTAGTCCCTACCAAGAAGATGAGTCAGAAATGAGGAAAAAAACTCGCTTCATAGTTCTGATTATTGATCAAAGTGAAATAAAATGAAAATATTTCATCAAACCCTGGTGGGTGCGTTCTGAAGAAGAAGAAGAACCTCGAACTACGACGTAACAGCCGTCCAGCACTCCCAGGTGGTTTTTCCGACGGTTCTCTAACCGATGTCAGCTCATGATGAAATCCTGTAACCAATCAACGAAATCCATACAAACCAATAGCGGAATAAGATTTTAATCACTATCTGTGGAACTTTGTGTGTCATCTATCCAAGCTGGTAATCCGCGTTTGATTCCCAGCAGACAGATTCGTAAACAAAGTTTAGTTTACTGACTGGTAACAATCTCTGTAAAGAGGGAAAGTTGGCCATGAGACTAGCAACTGTACCCCTGTAAATAACGACACTGTCACAGAATCTTCAAAGCCTAAAGTGTGAAGCTCTATGTTCATTCCGAAACCCAAGGAAACTGAACGAGCTGATATGATGTTAAATTTTTAAAAATAATTTGCGAGTGCGTTATGATTCCAACTACACCCACACAAGAGTACACGTAGCGGTCAATAATAGATCGCTTCACACTGCATTCAGCACAATTTGCGTCAACTACCAAATAAACCGGTCAAACTATACCTTAGTGATCAACATACCGATTGATACAGCTATAAGGGGTACTTGGGTAATAATTATCTAATTGCGAGACTACCTTAGACAGTCTTGAATTAATTAGACTGTTATATTGATGCAACGGGAGATGATGGAGGAAGGAATAGAGATCTGGTTTGTGGCAAGATTGGAAGAAACAACCTCGGATTCACTAATTCAGTACCCTATCAACTCATCACAAGACTCAACTGATGATTGTAACAGGCAAAAGTAACTTGACAACCTGCCAATCAAATATCACTTCTGTAACGCTAACTGTGACTTTCATTTGATGAGTAGTTATTCTTTTTTTTAAACGCTTACCAATCAGGGTTAACTATGTGTGCCTGTTGTTAATATTGCCTTCTTATATACGTGTGCAGGTAAGTGTGACTCATTAAACATTTTGTTTTACACACTAATGCTTTACTGTATGTTTCTGTCTTTACTTGGAGGATAACCATTTGGTATCTATCATTATGTTAATTATTCCCTTGGATCCCGAGTAGAAAATAGGGCTTCACTGGGACATGTCGATTCTATTAAGTTTTCTGAAGTCTTTCCCACCTGACTCTACCATTCCTCATACGCATTTATTCCCTCCTCAGACCATGCCTGCCATGTCACACTTCGACTCATGCTCACCTTGCGGCTCCCCACTCGGTAATAATCTGACCCCTGTTGCGTGATTTCGTCGCACGACCTCCTCAGGGCACGTCACATCCATCCACCTCCATTATCTTCTGCATATTCTTTCGGCGATAGGTTGTCAGTCGATTTGTGACCAGATTTTCTAATTGATTATCCTTTTTGACCAGCCATCTAATACTCTGTATCGAGGCAGAGAAGATAGGTGTTGATGTAAGAGTCAGCAACCACCAATTACAAATGCTTCTGGTGATGTGTGGGCCAGCTTCTTGAACCATACAGAAGTACTGAATGCCTTGACATTAGTATTGAAGATACGTTACTTTTTCTTTATGCTAAGCACGGCAGATTTCCAAGGTGATTTCCAAGCAATTAACAATTGTCTGTCTTGCCTTTCCGATCCTTTCCTGCTTGTTATATAACTGTGTTATTTTTGTACTCTAGAGGCAAGTGACCTGTGTTTTAACTGTTGTCAGTATTGACTGTGGGAATTAATATATTTGTAGGCGATTTAATCTTACAGGATCTACTAATAAGGTTATCATTTCATTGCATTCACCATTGGTAATAACAGTGGTCATGTGAATGGAGGCTAAGTTACTGTCCATTGGTCGGTTATCCCTTCTTCCAGTAACCAATTAATGTATCCATTACAGTCCTACAGAAAGTCACTGCTGAAGGTGAATAGCTTAGTAATATTGTAACAACAGAAGGCAAGACACGGACACCAAAGTATATTTTTCATTAATCAAACCACTGTTCATATATCTACAGCTTAAATTCGTTAACCAATCACTGAGCGTGCGATTTCGGTTCACATCAAACGATAAGAAATATAGTGTTCAAATATACACAATATTCTGCTGCCAATGCAGTAGTGAACTTTGGGAACCTGTGAGAATAACATTCCGTTGGCTCACACTGTCTGTATCACACCACCACGATATGATAACTAGTTGGTGCCAGTGAGGTCAACCCGGTCGGGAGTGAGGACAAATACTTGCCCCGGACATTGGTTAGTTGGTGGTTACGCGAAAATTACGACTTGGTCGAAGCTAAAATCCATGAGCCATTGGCTGAATGGTCCACAAGATTGCCGTGTAACCGGTAGATCCTGGGGTTGGATCCCAGTGGGTGAGTATTGCCGATGAGTCCCGAACTAGGAGGAGGAGACAGATAACTGGCAGTACTCCCTAGTTTTCAATGGTTCTCTTACTGTTATCAATCTTATTTTACCTAATAATATTTTCAACCCCGTTATTTACCCACCCCTTTATATTTGATCGTGACCCATAAACATTTTGACCTATACTGATAAACATTTTGATCCTTTTCCTAACTGTTTTCTTTTTTTTTCAAATTTTTGTCACAAGTTTGTGGGTGTATGTGATCAGAACGTCTAAAAAGTCTCGAGCAAATACACTATACGTTCCAGATAAATTATATCACCTTGGTGTTATTTCATGTTTATGTTGTTTTTAAATCGATTTTGACTTTCTTGTTGATCGAGACAGCCTCTGTTGATATGTTGGCTCCTATTACGAAAGCTTCGTCGATGCCAGATATGAAGTGACAGACAAGTGACAGAGACAATGTTAAGCGTGAAACCTATAACTTACTTTGTTGTTAATAACATAATTTTGGCCCTTGTTATTTCCCCCTTATACTCTCTTATTTGTACTCTATAGTGAACAACCTTCTTAAACATACTTAGCTATTTAAAATTATTATTATTGGCTTACTTTTTTATTCTTCATTCTATTCCTTATTTTGTATATCTACTTGGGTCCGACTATATTATCACTATGATTATTAAAAAATTGTCCTGTCATTAACCATCATGTAATATTAGTTTTGTGGTTTTTCTTTTTTTTGTTCGGCACTATTTAACTGACAATCTTGTTTGTGAACGCCACTATCACCATCTTAAAGATTTTATATTGTGCAGGATTACCCACACTACGACAACAAACACTGCATTTGTGCTGACAATAAAAATAAAAACCCTGAAATGTTTACTTTATGATTGTTTAGTGTAGTTCAATCAAATTAACTGATCATCTTGGCTATAAACATTCTTAAGAACATCTCATAATTTCTTGTATGATTATAGCTGTTACTGTTTCACCACGCATACACATATCATAGATTCCACAGCCTAATACTGAAATATGTTTTCATTATTGGTGTCTATCTTTCTTTCTACTTGGTATTTTTATTTGCTGTTTTTGTTATTTTTGTGTTTCTTCTTGGTGTTTGTCGTTCTTTTTTATACTTATTTTTTGTAATACTCCTTTTAAAACGCATCGGTGGCACAGTGGTTAGGACTCTCGCCGACCATGCACGTGGTCCGGGGTTCGAGCCCACGCCGGCGCACACCTGATATCTATGGTCGGCCTGCAAAATTTGGGCTACCGATATCCATGCTGAAAATTCTATACTTGTACTAAAAATACAGTGTGGAATCAAGCTGTAAATCAAAAATAAAAAAAAAGATGAAATTAGATGCAATATTGTAGATATGTGCTGAAAATTCCACACTGTACCACAAGTACTGTTTCTGGAATAAAAACGAAATTATTATTATTAAAAAAAGAATTAATCTAGCGGATGATAACTAGCAGCGGAATCTCGGATGTGCATTTCGTCCTATTCGGAACTCATCTTCTGGACGTAACTACAATCCACATTGAGTGATGGTGTTCCCACCGAAACTCGAACCTAGTATCCATCGACCGATAGCTGCTACCTTGACGTGTTGGTTGGGGTTGCACATCGCAAATACTTAACAAGCTACACTGGCTGGAACTATTGTTCCTGCAAGTCCTACCATGCCAAGAAGGTTGTTAAGATAACGATTAGACTAAAAGCAGTTACCGGCATAGTGTAAGAATTTTTTACACTGTGCTGGGGGTCTGTGGGCGAAGTTGCACTGCTGGGCGACAGGGATGTAACAGCAGCAAGGTGTTTCCCTCAGATGACCAGCATGCCAGCTGCCTATGCTGTCTCTCCACTCTGGAGAGAGGGGTTTAGAAAAGGTCGACCCCAACACTTTTATATCCCGACTTACCCTACAGTGGTCCGTGACCGGCGGTAAGTTTACGAATACGGAATCAACCCAAGAAACCAGGTGATACAGGCTATGTGTGACCGGCCTCAAGCAGTTATCCCCTGGACTCTGCGGTCATGCAACACTAACTCACTTTCGGTTTCAGGTACCCGAAGAATCAATCAACTTCCACGGTTTTGGCAGCCAGGAAGTAACAACCGCCCATACACTTCCAAGAGCACTTCCATCGTTTCAAATGCCTACGCCCTAGCCACCAGACCATTCGGACCACCAGAGTCAATTCTTGGACAATCGGCACCAGCGGTTATTGATTTTCAAGTCGGTTTTTATTTTCCCCTCAAATGACTGGACCGATATATATCTGGGGAATGCAGATACATCCAGCTGATAAGTCTTAAATAGGAAAAAACGTACTGCTAGTCGCTATCCATCACTTCTACTTACTTTGTTATAAATTATCAAATTCACTTCATCCCACCAATAAAATTTATTGATTGGAACTAATTTTGCATAAAATATGTAGGCGTAAGTCATTCTCATACTCCTCTTTTTATTTTTTTAAACCCTTAAAGCCTTTAGATGATTTTGGTATGAATGATTGGGATACACATGAACCGAATAGTTTAATCCGACAAATGGAGCAGCGTATGCAAGAGATGCGTAAAAGAATGGGCATATCTGATATGCCACCATTCAAAGCTACATTCGATGATTTCTTAAATGATCCTTATGAAATTGGCAATGATGGAAAGGTGAGGCTGATTGACACTTATATTTTCTTTTATTTCGTTTACTCTCTCCGCTTAATAATTACTTCATAAATACCATTCTGGAAGGTTTCTCAAATGGAGATGAATTTTTTGAGTTCTGAGACAGTATTTCAGTGGTGTACGTCGGTGGCACAGTGGTTAGGACTCTCGCCGACTACGCACATGGTCCGAGGTTTGACCCCCTACCGACACACACTTGATATCTATGGTCGGCCTTCGAAATTCGGGCTACCGATATCCATGCTGTAAATTCCATACTTGTACCAAAAATACAGTATGGAATCAAGCTGTAATCAAAAATAAAATAAATAAAATAAAATGCTCGCGCTGATTGCGCACCCCCTTGGTATTGGGAGTGAACTAAACTCATATCATTCTGGATGTGTATCAGTCGTTGATACTCGGCAGTGATATCACTTAGCGTAACCGTCGGTTTTTGTTCTAAAACTTTCCGCCACTGCATTCTGATGTCAGCATACTTAGGTGACTGTAGGCTGCTTTAAACTGATCATTTGTCAAAGATTTCAATTTAAATCATCGACGTTCACGGTTGACCATACCAGATTCAGAGAGGAAGTAGACATCATTTCCATTCATGATAAGATAATGATGTGGAGAATTAAACAGGAATGAAGGATTACCAGAGTGTTGTCTAAATGCCTGCAGTTTACATGCCATCAGAAGTAAACTCAAAAGGGTTTTGAGGTAGAAATATATCACAATATCTGCCGACAACAGGTGGACCCACTTTTTGGTTGGCCTGAAGAGTTCATTCTCTATTAAAATGTTGGCTCCATGTGCGAATGCTTCAACAATGTCTGAGGATTTAACCTGAAGTTATTTCGTGGATGGTGACTAGCAGTGAAATTTGGGATGCACATTTTATCCTATTTGGGACCCGTCATCTGATACACCTGCATCCCCGGGTGAGTTATTTTTGTTTTCTTTCTTTACGTTCTTAGTGGAACATAGGGCTTCAAGCTACAGGCTTGGAGTTTCTGTAGTGGTGTTCATTTTTACAGGATGGGTTTGCTAGCCTCATACCTAATCTTTCCTCTTTATCACCTTTATTACTGGCATAGCGAGGTAAAGGAATGCGTTAGCCGGGGATTGAACCCCGGACCATGTGTATGGTTGGCGATCGTCCTAACCACTTTGCCACCGACGCACTCCGAGTGAGTTTTGGTGTCCCCAGTGACGCTCGAACCCAGTACCGTCGTTTCAGGCGCCGATGCATTATCCACTAGACCACGGGAGCGGCCTCTTGTGCAACGGGTGTTAGTAACTATTTTTATTTGAATTTTGATTTTCCCTTTGATTAACTGTACCGAAATGTTTAGCCTCTGCTGACATACAGGCTTTTAGTGAAGATGCTTCAGGTACATCCAGATGATCAGTACCAAATAGGACGAAATAAAAACCCTGGATTCCAGTGGCAGTCAACACCCACGAAATTACTTCTAGGAGACGTACTTTCCAGGGATTATCATGGACAGGGAAATCTATTTTGAAATAATCCTCAAATCATATGAATCAAGTATCAAGTGAAACATCGGCATCAAGATAATACTGGAAGTGAGTAATTTTACTGGCGATTTCATTCACTGAAAGAGCTAATATAGTTGGAGTAGCCTGCGGTGAAGTTGGACAGATTCCTTGAACGAAAATTGAAAGACACTGGACTGTTCGTTTACTCAAAAATTTCTAGTGTTGAGTCACCTCAGTAAGTCCAACTCCCAACTTACACCATCCTAAATCTTACCTAGTTTACTAGCCAACAATGGACCAAGAAAAGAGCGAAGGTTGGATTTAAGGGTCCGGTATTTCCAAACCGTCAAGAAAAACACTATACCAGCTCTACTGAAACCTCAAAGGTTCAAGCCTGAAGTCCTAGGAATGAAAAAGAAATCATGAGGTGTTCTGATATCGAATTACGGCTACACTCCCGTTCCCCTACAATAAAATATGTATACCAGCTTATTTGTTCCTGTGGAGCTAAATACATTGGCTAAATTTTGCACCCTCTCGGGAACACTGTTTACCCTGGTTAGCGAAAGGAGAACACAGGTGTATCGCTATTCCGATGACAGGACATCTTGTAAACTTAAAAAAATTAGTTAGTAAATTATATTTATTTTTAAACACTTACTATTTTTATTCTTTTTAAATTTTAGTTACATTTCAAAGTTAGATTCGATGTGAAAGGTTTCTCACCAGAGGATATTAACGTGAAAACTACAGATAATGGTGTTGTGGTTAGTGCTAAAAAAGTGACACAAACAAATACATCAAAAAGTTCCCGTGAATTCTGTCGAATGATTGAACTTCCACAGTCGATTGAACAAACAAAATTGGAATGTCATTTAACAGATGTAAGTAACAGTTCTTATAAGTCTTGGTTTGTAGAGGTTTGACTGTTCGCAGGGTTGAACACGAGTTGACAGAATTAATGGACACCTGAGAAGTGACGGACGGCCGTTTCATCCTAGTTGGGGACACTTTTGGAGTATGCCTCCACAAGGGTTGAAAAAACCAGAATATTCAAGTTACAAAGAGAGCTCGTAGACTATTCAGCCACTAGGATTCAAACCAGTGACCAATGAGTTACAACTTCTGTTAGTTCCTCAGAAGTCGTGACCAGCAGGTTCCACCAAGTCAGGTAAGGAACAGTTACTCGTCTATAACACAGGCTGCCGGTTTCTCTACACAGACTACGAATTGAGAGAAGTTCAAATTCTTAGAACACTCAGTTTAGTCCTAGTGGTTGAATGGTCTATGTGCTCGTCTTGTAACTCAGGTGGGTGCGTACTAAAGAGGAGTCCTGAAGTGAGGCGAAACAACTGTTTGGTAACCTATGGCTGACAGTAGTTCTCTAATTAATGACACCTCGTGATTAAACCCGTATGCGTAGATGTTATTATTTTTTCTAAAATTAAATTATGTTTTATATGACCGACTAAGTGAATTATCCACAAAGAAAGTTCCATCAAAAATCGACTGGTTGTAGTTGTTACGCTTCTAATAGGCATATATAAGAAGTAGAGAAAAGAATTTTATTGAAAGCACGATAAGCGAAAATATTCGATAAAGAGAAGAAACAATTACATGAAGACTGGTTGGAATTTTCAGTGGGGAATAACATCTGTGACATTGAGAATAACGTTGAGACTTTAATCATTGATTCTTAAGATCATGGGAGCCCCTACTTAACAATCTACATCTCTATAACTTTTTGTCAGCTCAGTCCTGTTTTGGTTAAAAATGATAGATGAAGAAAGAGGTGACTGGTCATGCACGACGTTTGTGGTTGGAAACCACTAAACTTTCTCATTTTATCTGCATTCAATGGTTGTGACTTAACTCTGTAAAGTAGAATGAAGTAGTTTATTTGACAGTATACTCCAATACTGTTTTAGATATAGCCGGTGTGAAATAATCTCAGATAAATGAAAATAGCATAGAATGACAGTGAAATGGTCTGCCTCAACTTCATTGACTTTGAAAACGACTCCGTTAATGAAGTAATTGGTAAACTCCTTCAACACTAAGCAGTTCAGTGCAGCAAACATTTATAAACCTCATTCAGCCAAACATGTATGATGATGCCACATAATAGTGACTCATAGCGGAAGCTGGAATGTCTAATTCAAAGACACGGGTAGGACAAGACTGGTCAATATAACTGATGATCTTCTTAAATTTGATAGACTGAATCATACAACAGATCGCAGGGAGCAAGAAGACGAACATGTGTTAGTTCAACATGTAGACTTTAGAAGATCTGAACTTCACAAACGATTTACGTTTAAAACCAACTTGTTGGCAGAAATGAAAAAGTCGGAATCGGAAAAGCAAGATGAGCCTTAATTACTATGAAATGGGTGCGCGCGGGTCCCCCGGCAAATTGGCCAAATCTCAAGGAATAAAAAAAAAAAAGAAAAATGAAATCAATGTGGAAATCTACAGCATCTGGTGCAAGGAATAAGATTCGAACTAATAACACTAATGTACTCCACTAGAAACGTTTCTAACAGGCTGCTGAAAACTTTCATCAACAGCTATCTTCTTCGATAATGAAGATCAGATGGTCAGCCGAAAGGACAAGCAAAGAGAAACTTTGAGGGCGTGAGGACAAATACTCGCCACATTTGCTAGTGGTCGCGACACATCATGAATTGGCAGAAGTTAGAACTCATGAACCGTTGCGTCGGGTCACAGTGACTTAATTGTTTACAAGCTCTCCTTGTAACCAGAAGGTCCTGGGTTCGAACCTCAGTGGCTGCTTACTGATGACAAGTCCCACACTAGGACGAAACATTTTTCCAGTATTCCTTGTTGGTTTTCCAATAACCCTTCACCTGATGTCAGTTCGTGATGAAATCCAGAAAAAAGCAACTATAGTAGGCGATGAATAAAGAAAAAGCCCATCGCTCAACTAATGTGCAGATGTAATTTCAGATGGACTTAACAGTAACCCTGGGGAGATCACTGAGTGATATGACACCCTAAGCAGACCGTCAATAGAAACTCAAACATGAAAATACAAGTTGGATGTGGTTCCGAATGTAACATGGACGTCATAGTTTGGGGTGGAAATTACAACAACTAGACAGTCATAAAGTTAGCTGAAATGACTGCAGAGAACAGAATGAAATAGCGATGTGCTGATATTAGATGGTTGGAAGCGATCGGCAGGAAGCCTTGGACATAGGTTTCGTGCTAGCTGGCACTCATCAGCAAGGCGTATCTGCAACCTCAAAGAAACTAATGTCCTTTCTGACACATTACACTAGTCACTGACAAGTGCCTAACCAAAAATATCCAAACAGTCCTACAGGAGGTCAATGGCGAGTCCGAATAGCTCAGTGATAACGTCTCTGACTGCAGTTCTCACTGGGTGACGCGAGTTCGAATCTCAGAGGGGTGGGACATGAGTTCCTTCAAGGTTGCAGATCCGCCTTGCTGATCAGTTCCAACTGGCACGAAACCTAAGTCACGCAAAGCTTCCTGCCGATCGCCTCCAACCATCTAACACCAACAATTCACCATGCACCATGATGGCTATCCACCTAGCATGGTGGACACATCGCAAGCTTGACTGATAGAATTCAGTCTGCACCAAAGATACGACTAGACACATTACACAAGTCAGTGACAAGTGTCCAATCAAAAATAGTGATATGGTTTTGAAGCCCTATGTTTCACTTGCAACTTAAGGGAATATTAATACTATAAATTTTTTTCCTTCACGTTCCCAGTGGAATATAGGGCTTCAAGCTAGTGGCTTGAAGTTTCTGAACCAGTGTTTAGTTTACAGGATGGGGTTGCTAGCCTCATGCCCAACCTTTCCTCTTCACCAGCATTTTTTCTAGCTTAGCGAGGTAAAGGAGTGCGTCGGTCGAGGATCGAACCCCAGACCATATGCATGATCGGCGAGCGTCCTAACCACTATACCACCGACGCACAATACTATGAATAATAAAAATGAAATTTTTGTTATTACTTGAACTTGGGCTAATCGACAGAACGTTTAAACTTGTCTCCTACTCCCCATGTTTGGATAGCCAGAAAATAGATCACAAGTCATGACTTAGGAATAATCTCTATGCGTTGAGTGAATTGTAATCAACATCGCTTTGTTTTTACTGCACATCATGAATAAATTTCAAACCAATTGTATTTTATTTTCAAATTTCTCAATTTTTATTTTTTTTAGGATGGTGTTTTATTGTTAGAGGCACCAGTGAAAAATAATGATCACAAATCAGTGACATTTAACAATAAACCTCAACTTGCTATTCGACCTAAATCGGCTTTTTCCAGGCCTACTACGCCTAGAAATGGTCGTAAATCACCAGCAAAACCTTTGATCTTAAAAGGTGAGATTCCTTTTTTTATATACTTCCATTATGGGTAAATTTTTGTTTTGATAAAGTCTCACAGCGTTATACAGTAATGTTTACTGATGACGTTTCGAGCACAATTTATTACCCTTCATAATCATATCAAGGTAATCACATGACTTCCTAACTTCAATTATTACATAGTTCCATTATTTTTCACTTTTTTTAATTTGATCGGTAGTAGTATTTTCCATATTTCAGGGAATGAGTGATGAATCATTTCTATTGCATGTGTTGGGTGTAGACTCGATGAACAAGGATTCAGTAATCAACCTCTCTCTACACCTATCTAGATTACTTTTTAGAATTTTAACCCTCTCCCACCCTATTGTGTGGTTGTGTGCTAATGCAGGCATGGCAATTGCTGAGCTTTTTTCTAAATTACTTATCTTCTTGGGATCAACCATTCTTAGCAAAATTGCTATGTTCCGATAATCTGACTACCCCTGACCTACTGGTTTGACCTATGTAGTTGACCTCATCCACAGTCATTGCAGGGTATTTTGTAAATAATATTATTTTGTCTAATTGGGTCAACTGGGTCCTTTAACCTACAGAGCTTGTCCTGAGTGAGTTTGTAGGTTTAAATGCCACCCTAATTCCTGCTTTATTTAGAATCCTACGTAGGGTTTCAGATGTCCTCTCTTCATATGGTATACCTGTAGATGACTTATTTATGTTATTAATAATATTTTCGCAATTATTTTTAGTTTTCGTTTGACCTTTTTCGATCTTCCTAATAAATTTTAAAGGATAGTTATTTAACACTAACGCCTCTTCTATCTGTTTTAGTTCATCATTCAGGTCTTTTCTTGTGCTACTTAGTGTTACTGCTCAGTTTGTTAAACACTTAACTAAGCCTGCCTTAACAGTTAACGGATGAGGTGAATTAAAGTCTAAATATCTATTCGAATGAGTTGGTTTTTTGTACCCACTAGTGCGGAGTTTACCTTCTTCTATTCGTTTTATTTTACAATTTAACATAGCTCATTCTCCTTGTTCATTTTATACACATATAACATTGTTTCTACCTGTCAATAGGTACTCCCGGACCTACAATAATTGACGACGGTTACAAAGGTAAACGACTTCATGTAGAAATACCAATCGATCCAATGTATAAATCTGAAGACTTGTGCATTAATGTTGAACCAAATAATCGTCTTGTTGTATCTGGAAAGCATACAAAACACACTGGAGAAGGTGTACGTCTACGTAGAACATCATCACCATCTGCACAATTCACTCATTCATATGAAATTCCACAGGCAGTTGATCCTTCATCGATTACTTCAGAAATTGTTGGTAACACGTTGATTATAGAAGCTCCATTGAATAAATCTTATTCATCATATTATTGACAAAATGCATTCTCAATAAAAGAAAAAAGATCTCAATGTGATATGATCAAATCAGTGATTTTTCCATTGAATATTAAATGTTAAACTAACTTTCATTTCATCTATAAACAGAGAGCCTTATTTGCAATCGATAAATTTTTGATTTTCATCATTATTTTTTTTTTGAAAATGAGAATAGTGTATATAAACAGTTTAACACTGATGTTAGTTGCTTTGTCTTAAGACAACGGATATTTTCTTCGACTTCCATTTTACAGGTGGAAAATATGCATGAAGTATTCTTTTAACCTTTAGACATCTCTTAATGGGATCGCATTAGTTAAAGAAAAACCACAATAGTGTCAGCGATTGGAACCAAAACATTTAGGTTGGTTATATTACACTACTCAATATTTGTTCCACTGTTTTGAGTTTGAGTGAAACATAGAGATCAATGTTTTGAAGTTGCTGTTTGTTTAGGCGGAGATGGGTGGGCTGTTAGCCTCACATGCCAAACTTCCTTCTTTTCTGGGCTTACTACTGTGACGCGTCTTATATAGAGATGCAGATTGATAGGAGACGGTGGAAAATTGGAAGCAACATTTTAAGCCATTGCTACAGAGGTTGTAGTCAGAAAATAATCTCATTGGACAAATTCTTGCCACTTCGCTTAACCTTTGGCCAACCACCAACCAATCAGAACAATTTATTGTGCACTGACCTATCTGACATTTAATGTGGTTAAAAATGTATAAATATTATGCGTTTTTACTCAATAACAAAACTCCGTTACCTCTTCTCTTATCTTCTGTCGTTATAATACCACCATTTAGTAAAGTAGACAGAATTTAGGAGTGAATCGGTCGGGAATCGAACCTTAGCCACATCCTTTGTTAGCGAGCATTTTACTATTCAGCTAACGGTCCAAAAATTATAACTTCTGCTAATTTTATGATATAACGCCACTCACAACAGATATTTTTTGGTGACTTGGTGAATCCCACCGGCTGAATTTATGAGTATGGGATTAGTTTTCAGATATCCATGAATTTGGTCCCCAAAAAATTAGTCCTCATTAGACTACAATAGAAAGCAACAATGATAAGTCCATATGTTTCAGTTCAGTTCATGATTGTGCAATAACTCGTGTTCTAATAAATTACTAGTATTCTTTTCACGTGGAACATAGGACTTCGGAAGCACATCCTCTCTGCACTTCATCCTTCCAATAGCTCTTAACTGATTCCATGACTGTTCACAAGTTTTCAATTCCTCTTCAAGTGATGTCTTTATGTCACCGTCTAACATCCCACTCGTCATTTCCTATTTGGATTCCACCCGATGGCCCTTCTAGAGTGTGACATCACCGCAGCGTCTTCTTGTCGTATATCTAGTCAATGCTCATTTATTTCTGCATCATTTTGGGTGGTTCGCTGTGCTACTGGAGTTCCCTGTTGCTTATCCTTCTTAGCTGGATTCCTGATTCTTAGTATTAAACAACGGCAGCATTGCTGGAACTGAGAACAACACATATGAATATGCGGAGTTAAATGAATATAATCAATTCTTATTTTGTTCTGGGATCAGAAGTCAACTAACCAAGCAGTACTTAAGTAATCAGAGGGCACCATCCAAATATCTGCGCCCTTCTCGGTAGAGGGTCTCACAGCATATGATCAACTCCTTTCAATTCCCTTCTGTTGGATGGTGTCAGAGATAAAAAAGCTTCGTAATGTAACCTGTGCATTGGTGGCACAGCGGTAGAATACTCGCCAACCAATCAGGTAGTTCAAGGTTCGATTCCCGGCCGACTCAGTACTTACCCTAGCTAAACCGGTAATAAGACTGACAAATAGAGAAGGTTGTGCATGAGGCTAACAGCCCCGTAAAAAATAAACACCACTGCTACCGAAACTTCAAACCTCCTCTGGGAACGTAAAGGATTAAAAAAACGTAACATATACCCAGTATTATTCCATAAGAAGATGAAAAATACTGTACTACATCTGATCTGATCTCATGAGAAATAAATAATATAAGGTCATGGAAATATGTATATGTAGTTTTCACTGATATTTCATTTTATGGGCATTCTGTAATACTAAAATCATTTTTTTGTTATTTCTGAAATTCCATACTGTGCAAACGGTTTCATTAGCTGGAAGTCCTACGACTTAACGCACTCATTTAATAACCAATATCAGCTGAATAAGGTTGAGTCCAATGATTCTAGGTTGAAATAAATTTCTGAAGTTCACATCCACATGGGAAATCTCCGGGAGATTGGTTTATTTAAAAGTTTCATTATGGACAGGGGAGATAGTTAGGGAAAAAAAAAATAAAAGCAGAAGATGTTTACTTGGTCAGCGGTGATGATCAGTGAAACCCAGGACGTCTGTTTCATCCCATTCTGGTGACTCATCAGTCTAGTGGATCTGTATCATTAGTAAGCGGTAGTTTTTCCACTAGGCCTCTAATCCAGAACGCCAAAGAGATAACAATTGAGTTTGAGCCTCAGAGGGAGCACTACCAACCAAGTTAAATGACGATATTTTCAGGGCATTATCGATTCAGTCGTACTACGAGACCGCATGTCAATAGAGACTCAACATTTTAGTCTTATAAAGCCAATATAGGGAAACTTCAGAATGAAATCAGCAGAAGACTTTTAATTTTATTATAGTTTAATATTTTTCAACAGTTCAGCTCTTTTTTCTTAGTTATCATTCTATCTAAATGAATGTTAGAAAACACACGGATGGTTAATTAGTGAATCGGTTACATAATCCAACTGACTGGGATTTATTTACGCTTACATTTAATTTCGAGTGGAACACAGCGCTTTAAGCTAGAGTTTTAGAGTTAAAAGGAACAGTGGTGTACTTGTTTTACACGGGGGGGGTCGCTAGCCTCATGTCCTACTCTCCTTCTTTATAAGGCTTATTGCAGACTAAAAGAGGTTTAGGAGTGCATCATCCGGAGATGGAACCTTGGACCACTTGCGCGGGTATGTACTTTCAAAGAATATACAAATAAAAATTTCTGAAACTGGTAAGAGTTAGATTCCAGTTTACCAGGGATTTAATGATGGGCTTATTGAAAGAGGCGCAATAAGTCTTACAGATGAATTCATCAATCAGTATATACATTTTAATCGTACTCCACTTCTACGAGAGAAATAATGCTCTGTTCTGTTGAAGGAGGTTTGACCTTGATACAGTGAAATATCCAGAAAATATCTTATTTTAATTTTCCGAAAAATACTTTAAGATGATATTAAGGAATTTTTTTTCGTGACTTATTCACTTCTGAGTTTAAAAAATTCTCTAAATGGTAACGCCATATTGGCTTGAGCAGTCACCTTCAAATAATGGGTTCAGAGTTCGAGTCTTCCTAGGGTAGTGTAGTTAGGGCCTACAAAATAATCGGAAGGTTCATAGCTGAGTACATATATAACCTGTTTCAGGTAATCAAGTTCTTAATTTATGAAAAATATCCATCCACACACGGAAATCAGAACAAACAGTTTAGCGAAGAGTCTCTTTTCGATGAATTCATTTACTTAGCTGTACAATCACAATTGTATGTACTCATTTGCATGTTTGTATGCGTCGGGGGGATATTATTTGGACCATCAGAATGTTTCAAAACAATGATGAGTAATCATACTGTAACTAGTGAGGGATTCGACGAAGATCAGTATGTTTAAACTTAAGTTGCGCAATACGAGAAACATTCAGAAAAGATTGGATTTTGTTAGAGAAAGAAAGACCAGATTTGCAGTATAAAATGATATCATTCTATTTCACAGGTTCTCATCAGCTGCAAACTACCTGAAATTACAATGGTTATAAATAATAACATTTCATACTTCAATGTTTGAAAGGCAATAGAGAAAACATTATAAGGTGAACGCATCTGAAATATAAGTATTATAATCTAAGCCACCATCAATTTATATACTATCAAACTATGAAAGAAGAAAAAAAGAAAGAAAAGGAGGGGGTGAGAGAAGACAGAAAACAGAAAAATCTAATAAACAGTGTCAATATAGCAACTCAAAAAGGTCAAGGTTCATCAATTTGAAAACTTGCTTAGTGAGTTGAGCTCACTAGTGTTATGACTAATCAGTGTAATGAAAGTGATATGGTTACCAAGGGAGTGAGAGATTGACCATACTCTCTTTCTGTATGCATAAGTTTGGTCTGTGACGTTTGATTGCAATCGATTCAGCAAATCGTAGTAGAATCGCTGTTCTTTGTATGTTTAATATTTTGAAGGATTTAGAAATCTCGACAAAATGACCCGTATCCACAAGGTGTCTGGTAATTGAACTTTGTAAATATCTGCTTCCTTTTAGGCATAAGTTTCTTGGAATATGCTCTGAAAACCGGATATTATTGAAAGAGCATGGAGACAAGAATCAAAATAAATTATGAGGTCGGGAAGAAGAACGAACGAAAAGTTAGTGAAGAAAGTGATGTTGTAATAGTAAAAGGCAAGATACGGAAGCCAAAGTATCTTTTCAAGTAATCAAACCGTTCTTTATATATGTGCAGTTTATATTCTTTAACCAATCACTGAGCGTTTGATTTTGGTTTATATTAAACAACATGAAATAGAATGTTCAAATACACATATATAGCATTCTGTTGCTAATGAACTGTTGAACTGTGGGAATAGTATTCAGACGTCGTTAACACCAACAAATTCAATGATTCACACAGTGAGAATAAATTTCGTTGGAACTCATTGTCTGTACCACAATGTTAAGAAATGTCTTGTAAAAAACAGACGAAAGTTTTGTACCAGCAACAAAATATTGATGACAGTTGACCTTGGAATTATACCCAAGGTAGAAGGAGGAGAGGAAGAAGATTCATCTGTGTACATAAGCTACGATTTCCGTCCAAATTGTTAAGGCCTCCGCAGTGCAAAGTACGCCGAAGCATATCATTTTCATTAGGCTTCTTTTGACTTTGTAGATCCCACTGAATGAATTATCTGCTCACATATATAAAGTGGTCAATGTCAAATATATGTCCAATTGTAGTACCTCGTATTGGTCCATTGTAACCTATCTCTAGCCAAGCTAGGTGATGTTCTTTGACTCTTTCAGATCAGACACGCAGTAAACAGCCTATATATCTCCTTCTACAAGAGCAAGTAAGTTGGTAGATACACACAGAAGTGGTCAAAAGTGATATTTTATCTTTATAGTTT